TTAATGATAATTTACTGAAAAATTTCTCAACATTTGAATTAGGAATTCTGTAGGAATTCCGCCATTTTGACAAAATTTGCCAAATTGTAAGTCCTCCATTATCCCAAAATTGTAACACAATTTACCCCAATTTACCGGGATAATTCTCAATTTGCCAGAAAAATTCCAGGCAAATTTTGCGACAATGACATCTGTTCGACCTGTGTATATCACAGGTCGAAATGCTAAAAATCGGCAAAAAAATGGCGCGAAAAGCAGTGGCTATTCTTGGCTATTCTTGGCTATTCTTGGCTGTTTTTGGCTATTTACGAATTAACCTATACTATTTGTAAATAGTTTATACAAATTTGCGAATAGTTTATGCGATTTGCGCCATTTTTTTGCCTATTTTTGGTCATTTGACGTGTGTATATATATAATATAATATATATTTACATTTTTCACATTAAAAAAATTTAATAAAATATGTAAACAAAGTTATAAACATGTTTGTGTAAAAAAAATTTACTATTTTTAATACAAAGAATAAGTTAATTGTATACGTAATACAGGAATCATTTTTAGACGTGATCGTGTAACGTGTTTTTGATAAAACAAATACGCGTCCGTGTAACATTAAAATTATAAATCATATACGCGTCCGTGTAACAGTAAAAAAATATATATTGAAAATAAGAGCAACGGGTGGGTGGGAAGGGATTTTTCTGTTTTTTTATAATTTTATACTATAATTTTTGTAATAATCAATAAAAGTTATTTCATTTTTACTTAGAAAATTTTTTAAAAATATTTTTTTTTGACAAATTTTACAGTAAATTTTAAAAATAAAAATTCCGCGTATTGGTGGCGTTACAAAAAACATGAATAAATCCATAAATATCTATTCAATCATGATAAAAATTTATGTGTATGTAGATTCGAACCTGCTGAACAACTTTACTTAAGAAGATTTTGGATGTTTCCTTTGACTAAAGTGCATAAATTACGCTCTAAAGTCACAGAACAGATATACGAAATATTAATAAGAAACATTTATAAGTTGTAATATTACAAAAAAATAATAATAGCTTTATCCATACATTATTTCAAAAATTTTTGTTTTTTTAGTTTTTTTTATATACATATTTTATAAAAAAAATTATATATAAATATATATATGTCATAAAATAAATTGCTTAGCAGTGTAAAAAATTTATGGGTTAGATAAAAGTTTGCTTAGCAGACATGAAAAATATTTGCTTATTGACCTTAGTAAATTTTGAATTTTTTATCTGATCTATATATATATTGTTCGGGGTCCTATCGAAACTATTTTAATATACGTGATTTGGTTCCAGCAAAAAAGTCCGGTTTAGGGCCAAATCCGGTTTATTGAAGATCCGGTTTATCGAATTTCACTGTGTATAATGTTATTTGTTTGGTTACTAATTCTGATACTGTATGTTTCGCCTAAAATAAGAATAAGTAAATCTCAAAAAAATTTGGTTAAACCCACATGGGTAAGTTTCACCGATGAACAATTTACGAAGTGTTACAACTGAAAAATGTCTCCTAAAAAGAATTTGTCTTGTTACGAAAAAGTAAATAAGTGTCAGTTCTGGATATCCTATTTGTTATAGAGGAAATATTTAGTACGGTAATGTTTCTTGAACAGGAAAAGAATTGCATTTCTTAAAGAGTACCTAAAGGGTATTGTATAATAATCACTGTTCATTTTCGGCAAGTGTAATTACATAGTCAGGTAATCATAGGAAAGGACTTCTCAAACATCTGTAGTCTTTATTATGAGTTATCAATTAACGAAACTATAGAGAATTCACCCAAAGACGAATATTTAAAATATTAAGTGGATCATCTTACAAGAATTTGGCAGTTGCTAAATTAAACCGATTTTGAATAGTGCCATTTTAAATATATATAATATAATCATGCCCTATATTCTTGAGAAAAATATATTATATTGAAATGAAGATTGAACAGTTAATCATTGTCACAATGCAATCTTAAAATGATTCAACCATAATTATGAGATTAATTTTTACTTTCGAACATAATTGTGAGAATTATGTGAAAATTTTAAAAATTTTCGTGTGAAAATATAATTCATCTTTTTTTTATGGGGCAAATACCAACTATTAAACCAGATTTAAGATATGACTATACCGCTACATTAATTAAGGATGGATTATATATTATAGGTGGAGCCACTCCTGATGGAAAAACACCAAATTACCCATTTTTATTTCTTGATATTTCTATTCCTTTTGATACTAAACAATTAAAATGGCATGATTTGTCAAATTTGTCAAAAAATGATATTGTTCCATCACATAAATCTGCTGCAGCTATTAAAGGTGGAGCAGATAATAACACATTATTTTTATATGGTGGTATGAATTTAGAAAATAATACAATGTCTCTAGTTTGCACATTAAACAATTTATCATGGGATACTCCTAAAATAAATGGTACACCACCAAATGGAAAATTATTTATGACCCCTGTAATTGATTATAATGGAAGTTCAAGTCAATCATATGTATTAAGTTGATGCATATTAAGGAAATCATCACCTGATTTAACCGGTTCATATAAAAATAGTATTGACATCAAAAATATATGGTAAATGTAATATCAGGAGTCTGTTTGAAAGCTCATCGGCAGTTAGACTCTTTGAGTTCTCAGTATCAGAACTCTCTTCCTTCTCTCGCCAAAAAAATGCAGCCACAGCAAGGCAATAAAGGAAAATCGGGCTTGCACGTGATCATGTGACGCTAAATGACGCTAAACATCACTCCTTACTCTAGAGCTATATATTCGGCGTAACCTGGCAAAGATTTCAGACCAGACCCTGCAGCATCAATCTGATCACCCGACCCTGATCCGAACCTAAGAGACGAAGGAACGAAAAAAATTATTAGTGAAAAAAATTAATAAAAAAAAAATAAAGAAACGAAACAAAAGGTACTTTTACCTGTAGCCTATCACCGAACCAAACCTAAATGGTGATAGAATGAAAAAACGCTTTTTCTCAATTTTGAGAAAAAATTTCTGATTGAACAAAAACAAAAAAAATCAGTACGAAAAAAAAAAATTGAAAAAGGAAAATTAAAATATTAAATATTAGAAAAAAAATTTTAAAAAGTGGAATCAAAATCTCATTAACCGGAATTGGATTAGCCCACCGAAATGTGCACATGCCACATTGCCACATGACCCCAACAGCCAAATCAGGTGCAGCATGTCACGGTATTTGTCATATATTTATTAAATTTATAAAATTAGTTAGTATTTCAATTTTTAAATAAATGATATGTTTTTTTACAAAGCCATATACTAAGACTCCAAAGTAAATTGATATAACTTTTCAACATACAGTATTTTCTTTTACGTAACAGTTTTATAATCCCAGTAATTGATTTTGATTTTGATTTCTTTTATTCCTGTGAATAGTGATCTGCACCTGGTCACACCTTTTTGAAAAATTTTTAGGGCGGACTGTAACGTGTTTCTTTTCTTCATTACAAAATTAAGTATACTTTTGTTAAAGTTCTAGTAAAAAAGGTACTAGTTCAAATTCGATTAAGTTGCTTTTAATAATTGAGATATGGAGATATGGACATTGGTATTATCACTGTTCCTTTTTTTATGTGTCGGCAGAAATTTTATTCCTGAATTTTATAAGTATTTGTGAACGGACAATCACAAAGTTCATCAAAGTCGATCCCAAAATAAAGCTAGAACAGAATCGTTTGGTAAGACTCGTTCCATACCCACGGTTTACACTAAAATACTTATTTTCATTTGCCGCTCTTCTAGAAGCAGCATTTAATATTTCTTGCCGCGTATGTAACACCATCAACCATGTCTGTTTGTGATAGTGGAGCAGCAACCCATCCGAGCTTGAGGTTTTGAGACAGCACAACACTGAACTTGAGGCCAAGGTTGCCGAGCTTGAGGTATTTAGACAGCGCAACACTGAGCTTGAGGTCGAGAAAGCCAAGCTTGAAGAAGTATGGAGGAGTCGCGTTACTCTGCAAGAGAAAAAATTGCCGAGCTTAAAAACGAGAATGCGAGGCTCAGGCAGAAACTAGAGAGTAGAAATACAAGCTAATTATTTTGTTTTTTGTCCAAAATTTTGTGGTCGTTATCATTCTAAATCTACAAAAAAGTACGTGAAGCTAGAAAGAAAGAAATAAAGAAAAAATCAACTCATTTAAAGAATGTTTGAAATGTATGATACAGAGTTTAATAATAGAGTAATGGTCCAAAAGAATATTGGTTCTGTTTATAATTGAAAGGAAAAACAAATCATAATCGGTTAAAACAAAGAAAATTGAAATAACTTAATATACGAATATATCATGAATTTCTTCTCTCACTTTACGTTTAACCTATGCCCTATAAAAAATAAGTGTCTGGAAATTGTCCAGAATTTGTCTGGAAAATTTGTCTAAATAATTGTCCAGAAAATGTCCAGAAAATGCCAGGTACCATGTCCGGAAATTGTTCCGAAAACACACTCATTTCCGGACACTCATTTTGTCCAGAATTTGTTCGGAAATTGACCTGAAATATTTTTTCATAAAATTTGGCACAAAAGATGATCAACAGGTGACCATCATTATAATTGCTTTTAACCTAAAGTTTTTTATCATAGATATATAGTATTTTTGCCTGCTCAGCAAATTTAATTAGTATGACAAAGAAGGTTATGAATGTCAGTCTTGTGCTTTTTGCATTTTTTTACAAAATTAATTTATCCTTTTTTGGAAGTAGCGTCCAGAATTTGTCCAGAATTTTTTCATGTCCGGAATTTGTCCAGTTCAAATTATCTGAATTTTTACTATGTCCAGAATTTGTCCAGGTTTATCTGTCCGGAATTTGTCCAAAATTTTATACTGGACAAATTCTGGATATATTTTGGACAAAGTCCGGATATGTCAAAATTTTAGGTATCAAATTTGTAGCAAAAAATAGACATTTTCCGGACAATTTCTGGACATGCCAGATTTATTCTGGACAATTTCCAGACATTTTCGTAGACATTTTCCGGACATTTATTTTTTATAGGGATGATTTTGTAATTTAAATCTTTATCTTCATAGTAATTTAAAGGATATGATTAATTCATCCTATTTCATGCCACTAAAGATAATTTTTTTTTATTTTGATAATCAAATTTCCTGAATTATTTTGAACAGAAATGTGCCTTTAGATAATGGACATTCTTTATTCTGTGAAATATTTATGAAGAAAAAAAAAAAAAAAATTTAAATCATGATTATTACTAACATTAATGAATAATACTTTGTCAGAGAAAAAAGCAATAACAAGATATCTTTTCTAAATTTTAGCGGATGTGAAATGAGAGTTTATATTGCATAATATAGATTATAATGATAGAAAGAGGTTATTTAAGATTTTTTTTATTAAATTATACAATTTACTATATGGCAACTAGTATTACATTTTTAATTATATAAATTTTATTAGTAGATAATTCAATATTAAAAGTTCAGTGTGTACCAACCAATAAGGATTAAGGTGAATGCTGCTGTGAATAATGTTATGTATATATTTTGAATTATTTTTTAGTTAAGGTCAAAATCACCAGACGGATGTCTATCTAATTCAACAATTGACTTATATAATTCGTTGAATTTTCAATAATATTTGGAATTTTTTTGGTCGCAATGCGAAGAATGTTAGATGTCAAAATCCCTAAAGTACTTTCGCTTTACGTAACATCGTAAATTACCGTTCTCTTGTTCTTCATAACTAATCTGTAGTAATCCTGTTTGAAAAATGAAATTTTTAGCTTAATATGATGTAGGCATGTAGCAAAGGGAAATGATGTTCGTTCTATTATTTATTTATGTGCTGTAATTACATTTAATGTTGTCATAATTAAGTATTTATAATATTAGAAATTGATTACTTTTATATTTAAGTGAAGATACTAGTATTTTATACTGTAACGCCTATGCAACTGAATTCAATGTAAGAACGGGCGTAATCCTAATTCAATTTTAGATCCTTTAAAAGGTACTGTACGTTATCGTTAACGGTAAGTATGATAGAATGGTATGATAGTTGATTCATTTCTTTTAATATTAAAAATCCGAGGTTAAAATACTCTAATAAATAAACAATGTTATGGAAATAGGTCTTATCGTCATCTTGCCATGTTTCCATAGGTTGAATTTTAACAGTTTCTAGAAAATGATCTTTCAATGCCTAGAACCCTTGATATCATATAAAATGACTAATACAATATTTCTAATTTATTAATATAAAAAGTATTTTTATTTTGTGAAAGTAACGTTCATTACATACCTATAATAGTTTTTTTTCATTTTGATTAAAATAATTTTTCATCTATAAAATTAAATAATAACGCTTATATAAAAAATATACTAACAATCAATTTTGCTTGTAATTGGTTAATTTTGATCCTATAGTTTGTGAATAGTGTGATCTATAATTAATTCAATAAATAAATAATTTAGCGCCAGAGAATTTTGGAAGATAAAATTCTTTAAAATCCTTAACTGCACCAAATTTTGATCAATTTATTATTTTTGTCCTTTAACATAATATATTCTACTAAACTGGAAAGGAATAAAAGAAAATTTTAAGATGATAAATGAACTAATATTTTTTTGGGTGATTACTGCGGATACAATTGCAGTTTTTGTTTTATGAAAGAAAATATACTTTTTTTCAACCCACCTCAAAAATAATTTTAGATGTGTCAATTGAAGTCTTAGTAGATAAAAGAAAAAAAAAATACTTTATTTTAAAATTTATTCAGATGAAAAACTAATTATAAATATATAAAAATGAATCGCTTTAAATATAAAGATGATAACGAATTTAAAATTATTTGACTAATTTTAAATTTTTCTTAATAATGCTTAATAGACCAGCTAATTCTTTTCATCATCATGTCAGAATACTATTTGCTAAACATTTCGTTTTCTAACGTTTCTAACGGTTTGTAATCAAAGTTGAGCGCCTCTTTTTTAATACAAATCCCCAATAAATAATATATTTCTAATATATATATATATATTGCTTATTTGATCCTGCCATAAAAATTTCCACTAAGAAGTAATATAAATAAAAATACTATAAACTAAGTTAATAAACCATTTTAAATACTATCTTTAGATTATCTATTCCCGATAAAACCTACTATAATTTAAGATTCATCATTCAAATTATCTTGATTAATTTCGTTAAGATCTATTATTAAAATAATTAAATTAGACGAGAAATTATTAATAAAATAATAAATTACTTCAAAAACTTATTTACCTAATTCACTAAATTGAACATCAAAGCATTCTGAAACTATAAATTAAACAATAACGTAATGTTAAAATAAAATATACGGTAAATTTATGATTACAAATTATTAATGATTATACTAACTTATATTTTCTGGTACTGATGGGGCATCATCTATATATTATTGAAAAAATTAATTATTGTTAAAACTTGAATAAGATCTTTTCATAATTAAAATTGAAGATTTACCTGAATTAACTTGAAATGATGATAAATCTGATGAATTTACCGGTTCTGGAAGATTTTTAAAATTTAAAAGTCTACTTGTATAGATTGCTTGAGGATGAGTTTTAATACTTTCAGACTTATTTTCATTTGATCTGTTTTTCAGTGATTTTTCACTAATTTCTCTATTATATTCCCTCATTTGAGAATGAATTTCATTATTATTGAATTTCATATATTCTTCATGCCATTTACTTAATATTTGATACAATTCTTTAGCAGATGGTCTATTTTCTGCTTTGGCATCCCAACATTTTATAATTAAATCTACAAGAAATTTTGGAATATCTTCAGAAATTTTTGGTCTAAGTCCTTTACATATTTTAATAGCTAAAATATGATCATGAGGAATATCATTAAAAGGAATTTCTTCAGAAAGGTACTCATTCATAACTATTCCAAATGAATAAATATCAGCAGCTTTTGTATATTGATATCCACGTAAAATTTCTGGTGCCATATAAGGTAATACTCCATAAACTCCTTCTTTTTTATCTTTATTATTTGCTGGTTGACACATTCCTAAATCACTTATATGCATAATCCCACTATACAATATATTGCCTGAATGAAGGTCTTTATGGACTTTTTCAGCATTATGGACACTTAACAGTCCATCTGCAATATTTGACAATCTACGAAGTTTTATATTATCAAAGTTATTCAAATAAAAATTTCTTAAATTTCCATCTTCACAATATTTTAAAACCATCATATAATCTTTGGTATTTGGATCTTGAGTTATTCCATAGCAGTTAAGAATAAAATGAACATAAATATGAAGATAAGATTTGACCTAATAATTAATATTTTAAAAAAACAATTTAGTAAGAATTACAAATATAATGCACAATAAATCAATTTTTTTTATTTAATTACCTCATTTAAAAAATTTGTACCAATTTCAGAAGAATTATCCAGACATTTTAGCGCAATTTTACAATTTATTTCTCTTTTCCATTTTTGATTTTCAATATCCCAATATTGAATAGGTCCTTCAGGCCATTTAGCAGAATAAATTTTACCAAAGCCTCCTCTGGTAATATAAGTGACATTTTGTAATTTTTCAAAAGGTATCCATTCAAGACATTTTAAATAATATACAGCATTAAGTTGTGAATATTGTATTAATTCATCTATATCTTTATTTCCACTATTCCAATTTATAAAATTTTCTTCAAATCTTTTTGCATTACAAGGTTGACACCATCTCCATCCTGTGCCAGGTTCATTACATTCTCCACATATTCCATATACTTCTTTTCTTTTTTCTATTTCGTCTATATAGATTATTTTATCATCAATCTCTTCTGATTTGGAAGCCGAATCAATAGAAGAAACTGTAACATGAGTCTAAATGAATGGTTAAAATATATTGGTTACTTATTTAAATCATATTATTTATAATAAACTATAAATTATAAAGTGAAATTGCACTTACATGATATATTCTCCAATCAGAGTTTTTCCATAAATTTTTTGGCTTTTCTTCGGATAGTTTATTCAAAATTTCCATGCTGAATATCTTTTTTAACAATTCTATAACTGTCAATTACGAAATAAATATGTTAACTACAGTAATTTTAGTTGTACGGTATGTGTAATGTTAATTTTCTTTATACAAGATACGAAATTTAATAAACCAAGTTTAGTGAACGTAAAAGTTATTTAGTACGCAAAAATATGCATGTATCATGCACATCTGAGCTACAATCCATACCAATCAGAATCAACAATTTGTCAGCCACACATTTTTATCCTAATCGAATCATAGTGAAACTATTTGGATCGTCAAAATATTATGAATGGCTAAATTTTCATTTTGATACGAGTGAGATTTTTTTTTATTAGATTATACATTTTACAAATTGTAGAATATGACAATTGGTATCATATTTTTAATTTCATAAACTTTTATTAGTAGATAATAGTATGGTAGTATTCCATATTAAAAGTTTAATATGTACCAACCAGTATTTGTAATCACAAAAGTAACTTTGTGCTATTGAAACATTTTCAGTTGTACATGTAATGGTTTTGTAATAAAAAATTTATTTAAACATTAATTTAGGGAAAAATATAAATAGTTAATAATAAAATATGTATAAAGTTGTCCAAATTATTGTGGATACAATTTTTCAAGAAAAAAAGTCTGAAAATTTTGAAGTGCAATTTATTTAGATGTTTTGTAAAAAAGTTTCTTCATTTAATACTTTAATTTAAGAAATAAAAAACATAAAAATAAATTGAGAAATAAATTAATTTTTGCATATTTTAACCGCAAAAAAATTTGAATGGAGAAAATCACATTATGTAAGCGTAAAAAAATAATGAAAATGGAAATAAGTTTCGTAATATGTAAGGCGCAACTAACTGATAATTTTTTAATTAATTTGATTTGTAATTCACGTAATTTATACAGTATAAATTACAGTATGTTATTTATCGCGTATCTTTCTATGATGAAAAAGTGAGTGAAATTAAAATTAATATCTTAAAACAAAAGTATTATTTAACTAATTAATTTTTTTTTGTTTTGTTTTTAATCCTCTCCTAATTTCTCCTCTCTTTTTTCATATCAATTTATACAATTCAACAAATGAGTTATAAACTTACAAATAATAGTAGATTTAATAGGTTGATGTCAATAAATCACTTCCATTCGCATGAATGACAGGACGTTATGCAGATATTAATGATTTAGATAAAGCGAATTCAATTTCGTAGGATTTTGAGTAAATATGGATGATGTATAGAATGGTTATGTTTCGCCGAAGGGATATTTCGTCAAATAGAAATTTCGATGAATAGACATTTATTCGAATCCTTTCTCCGAATTATCCATTTAACCGAAATCTATTTCACCGAATAGGACATTCTTCCGAAAATGTTAGCGATTGACATAACAATAATGTTTTTAGTAACAAAACTTTCGGTAATAACATTTAAAATTTTCGGCGAAACGGCTTCGGCAAAAAGTCCTTCAGCGAAATGTCCCTTCGTTCGGTAAAATACTTCGACAAAAGTCAGGATACCGTAATATGGAATTATTTTATATGGATCATATTATGTGAAATCATATAAGAATTGTTAGTGTACTTCTGATATGAAATGGATAGTTTCCATTTTATGACGTGTTGAATCACTCAAAAAAAATTTTTTTTAACGAAAATTTTAAACTTTAATAGTTATGTTTGGCAATTTCTACATTAGTATAATTATGGTAGTATTAGTAATTTGTCATGCCGTTAAAATTAATTAACTCACTATCAATAATCATTATTTTTTTTCAGAGCAATAGAACCGAAAACAAAACACTCAAACGCACCAATGACGAGTAGAATTACCTTAACGAATTCAACAATAAAAGATGGTAAATGAAAGATAATGAATCTTTAATAGGAGGAGGTGGTTAACAACTGCTTATATCCCATTAACTTCGCCATTTGTTACTTCAACTCCATTCAACTCCACCAGTAACAAGCACAAACACGACCACAGCCACAATAACATCAACAAATACCAATAATATTGATTATTTTGATCATTCTAATTCAAACGGATTGAATTTAGCTGCAATGAATTCAATGAAAAATAATATATTATAAATAAGTCTAATATTTAAATAAATCATAATGAAATGATACGTATAAAAGGTTGAATCTTTATCAAGATCTAGCACATAAATTTTAACATTCATTAATATTAGAGAAAATTTAAATCCTGAAGAAGGTAATTCAATATATCCAACCTTTTTAATGCCAAAAAATGAATTTTTAGATTCTCGTGACATAAAATTTTAAAAATGACCCGGCCGGCCGGCATTTTTTTTTATATTTGTAAAATTTTTTTATATGTAAAATTTTTTTACGGCCAATAACTTAAATCATGTGATAAAAATTTTTTACTATAAAAAAAAAATTCCCATTTTTCGAAAAACTGACCCGGCCGGGTCACGAGAATCTAAATTTTTTTTTTACCCGGCCTAATAGAAGTTCTTTTAAAAGGTCTATATTCAAATGATGAAATAGCCGTACCGTTTTTAGTATATATTAGTATCACCATCAAGATAAATGTTATAATAAGATGTATTTGTTATTTTAGAATAAATTTTAGTGGATTTGAAGAAGAAAATTTATTAAGAACATTAAGAACATTACATTGGATATTAATACAAATTGTATAATAATTATGATGATATGTTTTTTATATTATAGAAATTGTATATTAAAACAATCCTTTTGGTTATCTTTAACAAGAGAAAGAGTTTATTTAAGACCTATCTGATTTAAGAACTAACTATTCTACAATCGTAGTCCGATTTATGTAAGTGAAAAAAAAACCATTGGAAATTCGTGATTAATAAGGCGCAGTAACTATGTATTGTAGTTCACGTGATTCATTTATTTTAGGTACTATGACAGAAAGCAATTCAATATTTTAAATAAAAATTTTGTTCGTTCGATTTAATAATATTGTGAAAAATCCAGATGCTTTGTATTTTTGCTACTTACTATTTTTTAAATTAACCCAAAACAAATAAGAAAATTTACCTTTGAATTTTTAAGCGCTTTATATTAATTTGTTTATTCTTTAATACGTATATTATAAAGATTATACGAAATAACTTTAGATTTATGAATAAATCTTCCTAATCCACTTATATAAGTTGCATGTACTGTATATTGTTCGCATAATCATTAAAAATACAACTTGCACATTGTATCCCGATCAGTTTATCGATTTTGATTTCGTAAAAAATAAACAAGTATTTTTATGAAAAATGAGATTCAAAACCGAACGTTTAAATAATAATCAAAAAATGTATTTAAAAAATAATATAATATGATTTTATAATTTATATTCGTAATAACATAATAATTTAATTTATTATTCGTAATCAAGTTTTTTCTCATGTACCTGAAAGTTTTCAAATATATTTAATTACTAACCTTCATAATATTAAAGGATATTTTTTCGCAAAGTTTATTATTTTATTAATGTTCAATTTTTTCTTTTCTTTTTCTTTTTTTTTAATATTAAATAATAATTTATTTTTCAAGCGCAACAACATTGTCCCAAAGGATACGTTTTTAAAAATAACATTTGTAGTAAAAAAAAAAACAAGTATTTGGGTAATTGAATAAAAAAATATCAGTAATTTTATTGTTAAGCACTATCTTTTTAATTATTTCCTTTTTAATTATTTTTCATTTTACAAATATAAATTTCATATTTTTTAACAGGAGAAATTTTTTAAAACCAGCAAAGACAAAGGCAACAAAGACCATAAAGGCCACTGACTTTGAATCACGAAATTATTATTAATTTAATAAAAAAATTATTTTTTTTTTTTGGTATTTTATTGTTAACGAAAGTTGAAATGGAAATTTGGAGTTTCTTAAAATTCTAGATTCATATTCTCCGTTTCAGTGGTTTTAAGTAAATTATCCAATTATAATAAGAGCTTCTGTCTAAAATTCTATTTCTAGAAATTTCCAAATCTTTTACAACATGGAATACAAGCATGGTCAACAAAAAGTTATCCAAATAGTCGTTGTTTAAATTTAGTATAATGAATAAAAAGTTATCAACATACAATAAAATTTCCATTAATTGTCATTATTGTTAAAGGAACGTTTCTTATTCTATGTTATTTATTCTCAAATGTAGAATTATGTTATAATTATTAACATTTTTAATTTTAGAATAGTCGTACGTTTATTTTAAAAGAACAAAAAATCTTCTAGTGAATTCTAATACTCTTTTATAAAATTTTCTTTGGTATATTTTATATGCGGTGATAAATTTAATAAGATGAACTGATGAAGTATAAAATCACAAAGTTAATTATTGCGTCACGTCTCAGAATTTTAATTATGTTTTAAGGATCAAATCTTAATTGAATAACAAATCGAATTTAAATAAATTTGGCGAGAAATTTAGATTTTTAATTATGCTGAATTATTTATTTCTTAGCGTTCATGTTATTATTATTAGTAACTTCTTATAATATTTTGTTTATACAGTAGTGGAAACTCCCAACTCCCACTAAGATATGTAAAAACTATGGTATAGATAAATACATAAATAAAGTTAAAAACTTATATATAAAATATAGTACAAATGGACGTAATTTTCCATTAATATATGAAATATAAACAATCATATTAAATGTTTCGTTATGTTTTATAAAACAGTTAACGATTTAATGACTATTCTTTATATAAATATTTATTTACCTTAAATAATCATATTTCTAAATTAAATATTAATACAAAAATAAATTCAATCAAGAGTTAAAAAGTATAATTTACACCAATAATAAATTAATTTCACAATAATTACAAAAGATTCGTGACTAACGAATGATCGTGTGGTAATTAATAGGATTTTTTACCATGATTATTCCGATAATTGTTTTTGAGCCCAAAATCTAACATGAACACACTCAGCTCTAGTTTGTTTAAATTCTTCAGTTAAATTTTTCACCATATTATTGAATTCTTCTTCAGAAATTCCCAATTCTTTACTTATAACTTGAATTGCCAATTTTGATTTAAAATAAGCAATAGACATATCTTGCCAAACTAAACCAATTTTACCTCCATTTGGTCCCGTAATAAAATCTTTTTCAATTCGATGAACTTTTCCTATATTTGGTTGTAATTCAAATTTTGAATCTAGATTATACATCAATTTAACATCAATACCTTGTTTTGAATACATTAACCAAACTATAATCAATTATATTTTAAATTAATAACTTATAATACATATAATACATTAAAATAAGATTAAAAGCAATGAATATAATTACTTGCATCCGTTAATTTACGAAAAATTGGACCTTCGCCAACATAACCATTACGTCTACCAGCTACTTCAATATATCCACCTGGTTTCGTTACTCTAAAAAAAGATATACAGATCAGTATACTTAATTTTACAAAGTAAAACACGTCTCATGTATTGTGAATAATATTTTTTTTTTAAAAAAAAGTAAAAGAAATACCTAATTAACTCAGAAAGAACGAAATCCCATTGGTTTGATGTAAAAACAAAGCTCATAAATTCTACATGTGTAAAATCAAATTCGTCATCATTAAATGATAATCGATCTGTTACATCGGCTTTGATGAATTCAAGATTATATGGTTTTATCTATCAAATTTTATAGAAAAAAAAGGATTAAAATTTCGAGTTTTCTTCATATAAAATAAAATAAAAATTTATAAATCTTATTACCTCTTGTGGATATATTGGTTTAATATCAACTCCATAAAAATAAGAATTTTTATATTTGGTTGATAATTCTAATAACCACGTAGCAGCCCCACACCTTAAAAAAATATATATATTGTCATTCAAATAAATATATGTATCATGAAAATGACACTTGAAAGGTTATCACTTACCCAATATCTAAAACCTTACACCCTTGAATTAATTTATCCTCAACTGGGGAAGAAAAACTACTTTGAAATATACATGCTCTAAGAAAATGATATATATGTGATCTATCAATAGCGTCGATGCTAGTCGATAAATAAAAATCCATTAACTTTTCATTTCTTTCTTGGTCTGATTCTATTTGGTCAAATTCTGGTATTTTTTTTATTGATGGCTGTTTATATTTTATATGTGATTTGATATTACCCATGATTTTAGTTTAGATGAAATAATCGCATAAAAGATTTTTTTTATTAAATAAAGTTTTAGAAATTAAGGGGTTTTTTTCACCTATTTATATGAATTTTAATGATTTACCATGCATCGACGGGTTTAATTTGTCATTTTATGGATCATATAATAATTTGTCAACGCCAAAAAGCCATATGTACGTTTTGTGTTACCAAACCTACATATTTAAGCAGTTGTAAAGTTAATTCGAGCTTTATCAAACAATTTCTTGTCATGCCACGTGAGTAATGATTATATGATATTTACTACTTTAAGAAATTTACAATCTTAAAATTTAGCAACAAACACAACATCCATTGTAAAAAATGTCACGTACATATGTTTTAATATAGGATGCAATGAACCTTCTATTGTAGTTCATTCATTATTACTAAAAAAAAAAGAATGTTTTCATTTTAATTTAGAAATAACGAGATTGTGTGATATTTTCAAAAATTTTAATTTGTCAAAATATTTTGTTATTTTAATGTTCCTTTACATTCTCATGTGCTTATTAAGAAAATATTTGTTTTTATGTTATCCGGTATTGATTTATTGATTTTTATGAAAAAATCTTTTTTTAATAAACAAAAAAAATTTCCGATTGGACAGATTTATATTTTTAATTCATTTTATCGATACACATACTATGACTATTAGATGACGATTTATTTATTATTATTTATAGGGTGAAATTACCATGGTTAGAAAATCGATCTGTTGAACAACGTTACCATCATTTTTATCCCGATTTTTCCATCGGAGATCCAATATTTTCCCGTAGATTACATGATTACATCTTTTTTTTTGATTACGTAAAATAACGTAGTAACCATTAAATTATCTTTGATTTTAGGTTTGATTTATTATTTTCATAACAAAAAAGAATTGCAGGAATCTGGACCCATTTTTTTTAATGACAATTATTACAATTATTATCATTAAAAATTTCCATATAAAACAATTTAAGAATGAAATTTTATAATATTTGACTTGATTTTATAGTTTGTATTACTAATTATTAAAAGAAATACAATATGCATTATATTTACAATAAGAATTTTTTTTTACGTAAGTACTTTGTCATCATCTTGAAATAAACAATACTGTTATATTTTATTAATAGTATTTTCTAAAAAGTAATAAATATTTTTTTTATTTTATTTTAATTTATAGAATTGGGGTATATTTTTTTTTTAAACGATATACTGTATATAAATAATATGATATAATTGGGTAAAATTACATTTCTAATTTTAGGTATACAAAATTTTTTTTAAAATCAATAAATATGTATTAAAAATATTAAAATTAGAAACAAGGGGTTAAGTTGATCTATCGAAGAATTTTGCGTATCATTAATTTACACCAATTGAAGATAAATTAAATTATTAAAAAATTTTTGGATTTGAAAAATGATTGGATTTCATTAAATATATAAATATTTGTTATTTTTATAATTCATGTGTCGGACCATAAGCGGATAAAAACAATATAACTACGTAATACAAGTTTCTCAACAAATATTTCTGAGAAAGGTATATTTTTTACGTTAATATTAAAAGTAAAAAATTTATCTTATGTTAGAAAATTTGAAATTTTTTTTTTTTTAATAAAATAAAATTAAATAAGGTAACAAACCCAAAAAATCATGCGAAGAAATATATTTTGTATATCAAATCTCCGAAGAGATATGATGGAACGGTCTAGACTAATGTTAATCAGCAAATATATTGTCACGTTCACTCGACATGTGACATTTGCACGATATAATGATTGTTACTCTATGTATACTAATTATAATTAATTTATAATCTTCCCAAAAAAGAAATATGTGTGACCTTGACTTAAATGTTTAAATCACATTAACGAAAGTTCATCGAGAATAATTAATATTTCGATTAATTAAGTAATATTAATTGTTTCTTTAAATTTTAAATTAGAATTACGAAAAATTTTTTTAATGAAATTACCCTTAAATTTATTCAACTATAATAATAATATTTATGCTTGTATCAAAAACGTTTTGTTGGTATTATCAAAGTGCAAGAGGTTTGCAAGAAGGCCAGATATGAATTCATTCTTGCAGGGATTGACTATCGTAGGCCCTTACATCAAGATTTATAAGCATTGGAAGAATTTTTATTTTTATACTTGGATATATTGTATTATAACGCAAAATGTTATTTGTGAATTACATAGTCAATAGCATGAAATCATTGAATTGCAGATGCTATCTTATTTTATTTATTAAGAAATATTACAATTAATAAATATTTCGCTATTATTAATACATTTGCAATAAGTTATTTATTTCAAAAATGTAAACATTGTTATTAAAAGGTCGTGGTTGTTATTGTCGTTATTGTTGTTATTTAGACAATTGTGCCGTCCATCCTGTGTATTTGAACAAAGACTAAATATAACTTATTAGTAAATAGAGCTGTTTTATGAACTTTCTAACTAAGACGTATTCAGATACTTATTTTTTCGTCGATTATTTTTTTTATTAACATCACGCTCCTAAATTTCATTTTATTTTTTTTTTTTCGCTTATTGTCCAGAGTAAAGCGAAGGACTATATATGTCTACGCACTATGATGATCTATGGAAATAACGTGTAAATTTTCAATCACGTGAGTTTCTCTGTCCAGGAATTCCAAGGCGTTATGCTGCTAATCAGCAGAAAATTACCGGAATTCCAGATGTGTATAAGAGACAGACATTGGATATNGTCTACGCACTATGATGATCTATGGAAATAACGTGTAAATTTTCAATCACGTGAGTTTCTCTGTCCAGGAATTCCAAGGCGTTATGCTGCTAATCAGCAGAAAATTACCGGAATTCCAAGGCGTTATGCTGCTAATTAGTAGAATATCGCTAAATCTTTATTTATTATACCTCGCTCCGGACTTACAACGGTTCCCGTTTCCTAGTTTTAAAATATTATTATTATAATCGTTAAAAAAAAGTAATATGTGAAAAAATGACCGACAGTTGCATATGATTGGAAAAATAACCAAATCAGGTTAGGTGAGATAATACAATATTTGATATTATTAATTTAGAATTACATCATGCCATAAAGAAAAAACTGATCGACATTGGCACATCTCGCACATCCTGTTTTTTTTTGTTACGAGTATAATATAAATAGAATGATGATCTATTGATCTTTCAATTAGCAAAAAAAAAAAAAAAAGAGAACCACAAAAGAAGTCGTTAAATAGTTTAAACACTACTTTTATCAAACCAGATAAGCCTACATAAATTTTATACTACAATATTGCTTGAATTATATTCTTTGAAAATGCTGTCCAGAATTTTCTTGATAATAATTATCATTTTACTTTCAACCGTTAATTTTATCTATTTATAATTAGTAAGATACTGTATACTGTATATATAACAACCTTTCAATAACTTTTTATTTTGAAGATTAAAATAATTTATAAATTCATATCTAATCTCCTAATACTGATAAATTTAGTCAGTAACGTTACTGTCGTGTTTGTGTGCTGAAACATGTTTTAAAATCTATTTTAAACATTAGGCTTAATTTAGACATTATTTATACAATAAAAAAAACCTAAATATAATGGTAATGTCACTCTACCAATTGATTCACCATCCTAAAAAAGAAGAGGGCGGTCATTAATAATGAATTGAAAAAAGCGCATAAAATATAAATATGCAAACACAATATAACGGAATGAATCAAAATCGAATAAGTCTTGATTGACCGGAAATATAATATCAGTCTCAGTATTGCTCATCTTGTTTTTTAAAAATGAAATTATTTTTTAAGCAAATTACTACTATATCAGAAGAAACTATTGACGATTGGCGTTGAAGATTTGTTTTGTTCTACATAATTCTAATCTAAGAGTATTAGTTAACTTCGTTTCAAGGCCATAGAATGACTTGCAAGTTAATGAACGTGTGCAAGGTTTATCAATAAGTTACCTCGCATTGTATGCCCAAATCAATTCCTAGTTTGAAAAAATAAAAGTATTTTTTAAATTTCCAATTAAAATAATTAAAATTTAAAAAAGCTAAATACTTCCATTTCTCGCAACTTTTATTACGTCTTGTAACTTTCTTTTCCCTCTTCAAATTTTTGTTTTTTCTCAGGAAATGTTTCAGCAGCTGTTGGATAATTAGGCCTTTTTTTCTAAAATATTTCAAAAAGAGTAAAAAGATAAAATACAGTACGTATATAATTATTTTCACGCAGTTAGAAAATTTAATTTGAATGATAACAAACATACGAGTTTTCTCATTTTTGACTGTAAATAGAAATAAATTAAAAATTTTAAAATTAAAATTTTTCAAACATTATACTGTACTTTGTCTTTATCTCATTTCATTTTATTTCATAGAATATCAGATATACTTTAACGAATATGATATGATTTTATATGTTCTGATTTATCTGATAAAGAAAGTAATAGTGAAAATAAATGTATAAAAAACTCTCTAAAAAGAAAATGAAACCATTTTTGTCTAATACATATTTAAGCCTTTAGTGTACAGTTGACCTCACACCCAGATATAATCACACCCTCCTTATAAGCATATTTATGTTAACCCCAAGTTACTAATAAACTTATTAAAAAACCCCTCTTTAGTCATGTACACCATATAGTATTTTTATAATCACACCATATTTTTTGGTCCCAAGGGTGTATCTATATGATTAACCATTTTTGGTATTTACTGGAAAAACAATAAAATCTTTTTCTCGAAACATTTAAAATAAAATACATAAATTTCAATATACTTACAGTAAATCTTGTGATTATGAAAAGAAAAAAAAGTATCAAAAAAGTTTATATTAACTTAATATGGTGTTCAGGTAAAACAATTAATTTATATTAAAGCATTCTCATCTTTTAAACGAAAATTAGAATAAAAGTTGGTTGACATATTT